TGAACAGGCAGAAGTTGCCTTCTGTTTCCTTGATATATAGGAATTTCTGAATTGTTAACGTGTTTGAACCTTTGAACCTTTTCTGTAGAAGTACTCGTCTCTTTATGGGAAATATCTCTTAACAGTATTATACTATCAGGTTCTTAATCGAAGTGGTGCAGACTGTCCGGACCTTGAATCACTTTCCATTAAGGATCAAGCCCTTGCAAATGAGAGTTAGTATCCTTGGGCTCCTTATATTTTATGCACACCATCTAAGTGTATATTCCTTGTTTTTTAACCATTTAAAATCTATACATTGAAAGATTTCAAGGCTTTGTATCTTTTTTCTAAATTTAATTAATCATTTATTTTAAAAGTTGTCAAATATGTTAAAAACTTTTTCCCTATAAAATTTAAAAAACAGAATTATACTTTCGTGAAAGAGGTGCTAGTAAATATTGTACTAATTGTTTTCCCTCGATTTTACTGATTTTTGTACCTTTTCTTTTGTCGTAGGTGTGGAGAAAGTGGTAGGCTGGGCACTGAGTCACCATTTCATGCATTCTTCAGAAGCTTTAGTCAAAGATTCTAAACTTGTAATTTCAGCTGAAAGGTATTATATTCTTCACTTACTGCAACTTAAATCCTAGAAATGCTGAAACAAAACCTAAAATTAGATGAACTAAATGTTTCTCCATTTCTTGTGCTTTTTTTTTCCTGTGAATTTTCTGTTGCAGCATCAAATATGGATTTAGCATTTTGCAAGGAATACAAACCGAGAGCAAAAGCTTGAAGAAATCACTCAAGGTACAATTGCCTTCTTCATCTCTGGTTTTATTTGTAGCAACTGTGCCTGATGTAGTTATCAATTATTTATGTGGTTAGAGATTTTGGTTTGGTGTTGAATTACATTTAACCTTTTTTATTTCCAGGATGTGGTCACTGAGAATGAATTTGAGAAGAAACTCCTCGCTGATGTTATTCCACCAAGTGATATTGGCGTTAGTTTTGATGATATTGGAGCCCTCGAAAGCGTCAAGGATACATTGAAGGAATTGGTCATGCTTCCTCTTCAAAGGCCTGATTTATTTTGCAAGGGACAGTTAACTAAGGTGGACTCGTTTATACATAATTTTCAATGTGTTTTGCTTTATCATATTTTACTTAGAATTATGCAGTTTAGAAGCTAAATCCTGTTTTATTATTTCCTATGTTATTGCCCCTGCAGCCCTGCAAAGGCATACTGCTCTTTGGACCTCCTGGTACTGGGAAAACAATGCTTGCTAAAGCTGTTGCAACCGAAGCTGGTGCGAACTTTATTAACATATCAATGTCCAGCATTACTTCAAAGGTATTTTACATGTGTATAAACTGTACAGGATTCCTTTCTGTTAGAAGATAGATTATATGACACATTTGTATGTCTTGCAGTGGTTTGGTGAAGGAGAGAAATATGTTAAAGCCGTTTTTTCTCTTGCCAGTAAAATTGCACCTAGTGTTATTTTTGTTGATGAGGTTTGCTATTTTCATTCATTTTATTGTTGTGTACTTTTTGTTTCTTGGAAGATTAATTGTTGATAATTCATTGGTTGGGTGGTTATTTTAGGTTGACAGCATGTTAGGACGACGGGAGAATCCAGGTGAACACGAGGCTATGCGTAAAATGAAGAATGAATTTATGGTAAATTGGGACGGTCTCCGTACGAAGGATAAGGAACGAGTGTTGGTTCTTGCTGCTACAAATCGGCCATTTGACCTCGACGAGGCAGTTATTCGGAGGCTGCCTCGAAGGTAATTTGTATTCATTTGTTTGAGCTGCTGTAGTCTGTCCTTATGATAAGAGCACCATTGACTTACCTGTTGGATATTTTGTGCAGATTGCTGGTTAATTTGCCTGATGCTCCAAATAGAGAGAAAATTTTAGGAGTTGTATTAGCCAAAGAGGAATTGTCACCTAATGTTGATTTGGAAGCTATTGCAAATATGACCAATGGATATTCTGGAAGTGACCTGAAGGTTGATATCTTCTAATGAGTTATCATATATATTGGTGTTAATAATTCTGGCATATGCTTATTTTGAACTTCCTTTTTCCTCTTAAAAATAAAATTTTTCATCAAGTTAGCAATGCTTCCCTATTTCTGTTAGCCGAGTCATCTTCTAACTTTTATTTGAACCCAAATGGGTAAGTGGCTTAATCTTTTACCTATTTTTCCCTAATAAAATTCTCTGTTTGCAGAACCTCTGTGTGACTGCTGCACATTGCCCCATACGAGAGATTTTGGAAAAGGAAAAAGAAGGTCAGTGTCGTCAGTCCACAATTTAGTTTATATGTTCTTTAAACTGGTGGATGTGTCTTGTATATGCTCTATGGGCACATTACAAAATCTTAATGCTGTTATTTAAATGGTAGCCAATAATAGTTATCCATAGGCCAACAAGCTGATCTCGTGTTGATTCAATGGTAATTTCATCTACAATTTTATATGAGAAATCATTCTGGCTCATATATCATGATTTGGAAGTTCTGAAATAGATGACATTTTCGTGGGTTTTGTATTACTTTTATATTACTGCATCCCCATTTTTCATGAAAGTTCACTATAGGTACAAGATTATACTGATATATCATGCAAATTTTAGGAGAGAGCTTCCGCAGTGGCCGAGGATAGACCTGCACCTTCCTTGTATAGCAGTGCAGACGTTCGGTCTCTATTGATGGATGATTTTAAATATGCCCATGAACAGGTATTTATTCAGCATATTTTTAGATCTTTCAGTTTTGGATTTATCCATGGTCGAAGAAGTTCCAAAATTTCCCTAAGTTTATTCAGTATGTGTGCCAGCATTAAGCATACACATTTTTCAAATGGAATAATTCGGAGTGCAGATAACAGCATTTGTTTAATGGAATGTTCTTTTTTTTAAAAAAACTGTGCTTTTATACATATATATGTATTATATTTGATTGTGGCTGGTTGGAATCGGAATGCAGGTTTGTGCAAGTGTGTCATCAGAGTCTACAAATATGAGTGAGCTTCTTCAATGGAACGAGTTATATGGAGAAGGTGGATCAAGAAAGAAAGAAGCTCTAAGCTACTTCATGTAGAGGGGAGGGGAGGTATTTTTGTCTATTGCCATTCCTTTTTCCTTTGATTCTTCATTCTCACCGTAGAAGGTAAGTTGGCTAAGTTTGAGCGACCTGCTTGTGGAATTCCATTGCTGGTTCCGGCTTCTTTCCTTGTATTATAATAGTTCCCAAAATTTTCGCTTGAATTTTCATGTTTAGAAATGGTACAGTATTTAACAAGTTGGTTAACTCCGATTTAAAGCATTTTCCATTCCCCTCAGCATATATGCCTTCGAAGAGCAAATTCATTGGCTGTGGAAATTGGAAAGAAGTTCCTTCATCCCCTTTACTTGTTCATTAAGCCTTAGGTCAATAAGTACCGTCTCTTCCTTCCCAAGGGTCTGAGGCTGAAGGCACATTCGTAGGTGAGATCAGAAAGACCATCCCTCACTATAGCTTCAACAGAAATATGAAACTAAAGCGAAGTTCACACTTGTAGTTGGTAGTAATTGGTGGATTGTGCTTGCCTGGTATCTGTCAACCGAAAGTAAAGACTGGGCCTTGATATGATAAAACTTCCGATTGCGTATTTCCGCAGTCCATGGCGTCTTCATGTCCTCAGATTGTAGATACAAAAGAATAGCGAACTGATCAAAGTAATTCTTTGTTTATTGGTAATGATGGAAGTAGTAAAACCCTTTGATTCCATGCAGGGCTGGGAAACAAGGCACCCGAGTACCTTTGTTCTTTGTTTTTGTTGTGGGAGAGGACGGCTGTTATTATTGTGTCCGTTGGTGAGGATTGTAAACCAATATTTATAAACCTTGTAGTCATAGCAGCTGGCCTGCAATCTAAATGATATCATTTTTATTTAATTTCAAACGTAAAACTGCATGCACAATTCAGTATTTTTTTTTTTTTGTATATTGTGGATCAAACTATGTATTACTGTTCTATTCTCAAAGATTCAGATCGAAACTTTAAGAATACATTAACGTTAAACGCTTCATGGATGGATTTTACTGTTCTTGTGACTTGACCAATTAATTCCAAAATAATGATTCTGACACGGTATAATCGGTGGTCGTATTATTTTATAACCAACAAGATGAAAGGGGAAACGAGGTTCTTTAATTGGCTTTAATGGCGTGAAGCCGTGAAACACGACAAGCAAGAATTTAAAAAAGAGAATAACTTCAGTGATGAAAAATATCTTATAATATATGATTTTAATCAAATTTTTTTGAATTTGTTAAAATGACCAACTAAATCGTAATACGATCGATAATTCGCAACGCGATCTCCGGTATCGCAAATCAATTTCCAGATTCGCATTCGACTATCGCAACGTTAACTTCGACTATCGCAACGAATTTGAAATAAATCGCAAAGCAAACTTCGACTATCGCAACGAATTTGAAAAATCGCAACGCGAACTTCGACTATCGCAACGCGAACTTGGACTATCGCAATGCGAATATGTAAATCGCAATGCGATAGTCGAAGTTCGCGTTGCGATTTTCCAAATTCGTTGCGATATCGGAGATCGCGTTACGAATTATCGATCACATTGCGATTTAGTTGATCATTTTGATAAATCTAAAAAAATTTAGTTAAAATAGTATATTATAAGACATTTTTGACGAGGATATTTTCTCTTTAAAAAATGTTAACTTTTGGGATTGGGGCGCGGCGATTGTGATTAGAGACAAAGCGGAAGATACAATTTGTGAGGAGCATCTGAGGCCACGTTTACCTGAATCTAATAGAATAAAATAAAAACAATGAAGAACGCTATGATCCATCAAATATGGAACCATTATTCTGACAGCCTGAAATGTGGCGCAGAGCTGATCTCATCATCCCATTCTACAAAACTAGCATCGAAGACAATGTAAAAGCACTGCCGAAGGAACCACCGTTTTCCATCGTTTCTTGTCCCTGCTCTCGGCTCTTGGTGAATCGCACGTTATCCACGATGGACCTTATGCACCATTCCTCGACGTTTCTTCTCCCTACGATGCCTGAAGACCAACGCCCTTCTCTAACCTACGCCCTCGTCGTTCTTAACCAAAGCCTCCCCAGATTTACTCCTCTTATATGGAAGCACGGTCCTTGCTCCATCATTTACACTTTTTGTTGATTTTTAATACCCGTTACTCTGTGTCACCTCGAGAGTGAGATGTTCTGTTCACTTTTTTTTTTGGGTTTAGAGCAGCTCAGTTTCGCCTCTGTGCTGACGGTGGTGCCAATCGTGTGTACGATGAAATTCCTCTGTTGTTCCCTCAGGAGGATGCTTCCGGTGTTCGACGCAGGTTTCTTTTCCTTTTCCGTTGTTGTTCGACGCTTTGATTTGTGTTGGTTTTATTTTATTCCTCCTAAGTAAGTTGTTCCACAGAGTTTAGTTGAAATCTCAATACTTAAATCTTACCATTGGAGCTTTGATTCTGCAGATACAAGCCGGATATAATTGAAGGAGACATGGATTCCATACGAAAAGAAGTACTTGACTTTTATACCCGCCTTGTAAGTAGTGTTAATATCAACTATATGTGTGTGTATGCATGTGTGTTGCCGATTATGATCAACCTCCTTTCATATGTTGTTTGGCTTGCCAGTCTTGTTTCCTACATGTATGCCGTGTGTTGCTATGTTCTTATGAGCATTAGGCCCATCCGTTAATGCTGAGATGTTTTCACTTTCTGGTTTGCTGCAGGGAACAAAAATCGTTGATAAAACTCATGATCAAGACACGACTGATCTACATAAATGTGTAACATGCGTCCGTGACTTTGCTCCGGGTTTGGACGAATGTAATGTAAGTTAGATGTTCTGGAATTTATCTACAGGAATCCGCCATATATGCATGAGTATGCGTATTCGAGTAGAGCATAGGAAGATATCGTACATTCCATCTTGTGTAGTGTGCTTGGATAAGCCTTTCCTTTTTTCTGGCTTAATGGCAGCTCTGCATTCTTGTTGCTGGAGCACTTGGTGGACGATTTGACCATGAGATGGGAAACCTAAATGTCATATGTCATTTCTCGTCCCTGCGAATAATCCTTTTGTCCGATGATAATCTCATCCATCTCCTTCCGAGGACTCACCGTCACGAGATACATATTCAAACTTCTGTCCAGGGTCCGCACTGTGGACTAATTCCGATAGGGATGCCATCAAGAAGCAGTACAACAACAGGGCTTCAGTGGGATCTGGGTAAGCATATATGATTTACTGTTTACTTGGCCTTTGAACTCAAATGGACATAAATTCCATGCTTTACTCATCTCATCCCTTTCATCATGCCTTATATCGTATATAATTAGAAAGAGCCGTTTCAAATTAATTGCAGATAATACAGAGATGAAATTTGGTGGGTTGGTAAACACGTCGAATATAGTAGAAGGGGATAATGTGACGGTGGAATCTGATTGTGATCTTCTATGGACCATTTCCCTTAAAAAGTTGTCCTAGTTTGCATTCTTATGAATTGGCTGCACATTTCACTCTTGTTTTTGTATGCAATTGTAATGTCAACGGTCGATGAAGCCGATGTTGATGGGGTCATTTGGGATAGTATGGGAAATATTGAATTGCTGCCTGCAAAAGTGCATTGCAATGTAGCAATTGACAGAAGTTTTCTGGATTGGCTGATGATAAGAGGTGATGAAATATATAATAAATGAATATTTACACGTTTTTTCTTCTATTTCCATCTCCGAAGCTTCTACTTCCATCTCTGGATATATATTTTGTCTCTGCAATCGATGTGTTGCTTTGAGCTTTATCTATTGAAAAAAGAACCAAGGCAAAGCAAGGCGGGGCGCCTAGCATAAGAAATTCAGGGTTTTAGACGGGCGATTGAAAACAGTCAGGTTCAGCTTAACTTGCTTCTTGCAACCAATGCATTCTTGCCACCTCATTCCCCTTTTTAGTTATTAATTTAATAAAACATATTTACTATAATTATTAATATATTTTTATAAATGTATTAGTATACTTGTAATATTTTATGAATTTTATGATGTTTTGTAAAAATAAAAAAAATTAAAACTTCTGTAAAGACTTTATGAACCTTATTTAAAAAAATTTAAAAGATTAATCATATGTAAAACATTATGATAAAATTAATCTTAAAACAATAATTTTAAAAACGTTAAACACTTATTTTGATAAAACAAAAACTAACACTTAAAATTGATCGAGAAGCTTATTTTTCAATTAAGATCATTTTTTATGATTTAATAATAAAATAGTCAAAAATAAGAACAAGTTAAAGTTAAGTTTCGATTAAGTTTATTTACTTTTAATGATAATTAAGATCACTTTTAAAGATTTATGACAAAATAGTCAAAATAAGAACAATTTAAAAGTTTACTCTCAATTAAGTTCACTTTTAAAGAATTCATAATAAAATGATTAGGACAAGATCAATTTAAAAGCCAAGTGATTAAATTAAATGAATAAAGTGACCAATATAAGCGCGAGAGTAAAATTGAATGATGAAATTTGTAAGTTACCCTTTAGTTCTCCACGCTAACAATTCCAAATTCCATTGTTTTCCTGATATAGATAACATTGGAAGGTTAAATTCCAAAAGAGAGTTTGCAACAAGGATGAAATCCAGATTATCTCATTTCTAAATGATAAACATCAAACAAATGATTTAACGGTACACATACAGCATCCTAATTCATGTCAAGGAGCTAAAATTGTCTACCCATCGGACTGAAACATATATCTCCCCGGATTAACCAATTTTTTTTATCTCCAGCAATTAAAAACCATATCAAGCTTTGATCCAAGTCGAAGATACGGGAAAAAAAAACAAAATATCAGGCACACCCATAGTTCATCAGCATTTCAATTTTCGCTAAACTGATTTCATGTGCTTGCTTCAGCATTCTTTTAGTCTGAAGTTCCGACACTGTGCTCCTCTGGCTTTGCATCTCCTTCGGCCTTGTCAGCTGGCTTTGCTGCTTCTTGCCCTGCATTTGGTCGGAAATCAGCAACATATTATAGCATGAACCATCAAGAGAAAAGGTAATCTCACAGGAAAAAAAATCACCCATTAAAGCATTGTGGTATTCTTACCTTCCTCGTCACTGTCTTCAAACTCATCCATTCCGCCCATTCCGCCCATCATGTCACCCATTCCGCCCATTCCCATATTACCAAAGTTCTGAACACCGTGACAATTATTAGGTAAGAAAGCAAGTCTTCATAAGTTCCTGCTAGAACTACACATTGTACATAAAATATTATATATCCATTCCATACCGAGAAGTCCATTCCTCCCAAGTCAAGATCGCCAGCACCTATTCAGAAGTAGTAGCAAATAATAATTTGTCAGTTTGAAATGTATCAGCCTCCGCATCAATTCAATCCGACTAAAGAAACATACCCTTGTCTTCATCTTCATCCACCCATTTGTCCCAGTCCACTTTGACATAATGGGGGCCCTTGCCATCCCCACGCAATAACTTTTTCCACCACACTTTCTCAGCTTTCTCTAAGATGCAGAATATGCTCCTTAGACCTATATTTATTTTGCTTTCCTTTTTCCAAGAAAAAAAATACAAGGTGTCAAATAAAGATGGAAGAATGCTTATCCCACGTATGATTGGTAGAAAAGAATAAAAGAAATGTATCCTTCATTGATTGTCATCTTATTTTTTCCCCTTTCTAAACACAAAAATTTCATTTTCTTTCACTTTTATGAAGATAGAAGTAGCATGAATGTGCCAATGTGTGTTGCAAAGATGTTTGATTGTCAAAACATTTTAGTATAATCCAATAGAAAGCATGATAATGCACTTAAAATGAAGTAGTCCTAAAAATAAGACACTAAGGAGCTAAAGGCTACCCATAAAATATTCAAAATTCACTTAAAAAGCAACCAATCATCAACATCTTACCTTGGTCAATATCTTACCTAGGTCAATATCCTAAACAAATGGAACAAACATTTAGTTGATTCTCAATAATGGCTAGGTCAATATCTTACCTCCACAACGACCTTATCAAAAAGTTCCAACTTCAACTCATATTGGTTATTTCCAGCAGTACCAGAGAAACTAAACACTCCCTCTGGCTCAAGATTGACCTTTGCATCCTTAGAATCGGATAACATAACCGTAATGAAAACCTTATCAGCTCTTTGAGCCCATTTCACCTCGGGATGACGACTAGCAACAAAGAAAAAACAAAACAATTCAACCACGGTTAATTAAAGAAGATTTCAAATCAAAACAGAAATGACAATCCAACTCAGTTGGCGTGGGATCGAGTCCCACGGAAGCATTTCATAATTCGAAAGTCTACTATTGAAACTGCTCTCAAACTGGCGTTGGGACATCCTACTATCCTTCTTCCCCTTACCCATTACATATTGAATTACATATTGAAATAAGGGTAAGCTAATTTAATTTTTTTTCCAAATCAAAACAAAACAATCTCTAATGAAAAAATCTCAGATACCAACAGTAATAAAAGCCCCACTACAACAGTTCTTCCCAATAGCTAATTAAGTTAGTTGAAACAGACAAAGAACACAAATGGTAACAAAACTCTTAAAATCAACCAAATCAGTTGCGGGCAGCTGGGGAAAAAGATTCGGAATATGAAATCTAAAATCAAAATAAAATAAAAAGATTGTTAAGCTTACCTCATGATTTAGTACTGAGTAAAGAGTGTTGAAATGTAAAGAATTGTAAAACCCTAATGAAAACACCGAAGAATGTAGCCGACAACTAATGAAGAGTAAGATTTTAACTTACAAAACGGACACCATTTGCCCTTTACTTTACCTTCTACATCGTGGATAAATCATGGGCCTTTTGGTAATTTCAATTATGGATAAATTTTTTATGCTATTGTGCGTGTAGTTGTATTATGTTTAATGCATCAGCGCCGTGTTATTTTGACTTTATTTTTGGGTATGAATCGGACGCTTCAAAAATCAAATCAGCACCTTGAGTCTGGTACTCTTGTTTGTTGGGTTAGCATAGCCCAATATAATTGGCTCGTTGATCCACCGGTTCAATTAAGCTCGAGTTGGACATTTGGATTTGGAGTTCAATAACATTAATTTATTTTTATATATCTTAAATTATTTATAAATAAATAATTGTGCATTTCAACATGTTCAAACAGGGAGAGAGTTCGACGGTATATGTCGAACGATGCTAACTATAATAGCTGTGGTGCTATTATGGAGTCTGCATCGCATATCTTTTTATGTATATGTGATAGCTCTATCAGGTTGGAATGAAGTTATTAAATCAAAATTAATTGAGGAATTTATCCGAAATGGATTTAGTGGACTGAATTTAATTGAAACTTCAAAAGCCTGATTACTTATCGGTAGATGTGATGACTGAAATCTGCTATTTGGCTTGGTTATATAGAGTCTATTGATGCGACGAAACAGAACAATGTTTTGTTATGGAATTTATGGAGATAGATAGCATCCTGCAGAGTGACAAAAAGTTATAAATGGAGGTTGTGTATGCACTTAAGTTGATCAACGCTTTGAAGGTAGGCCGACATGTAAGAGTTAATCAATCTCTCATATGGAAGCCTCCATCGATTGGGAAGTGTAAGCTAAACACTGATGGTAAGATCATCAGGGAAGACTTTGCAGCCTGCAAATTATCAGCATTGCTGACACAATACCCAGTCATGGACTGTGATCGGGTCTTAGTCGTCGATGCAGGTGCGTACTTCATTCATATATTACCCGGACTCAGTAGTATGTTTCGAATACGAATGTGTCTGACATAACTATACTTTAAAGTCGAGCATTCATCATAGTTTGCCACATGATCTTCATAGCTTTTTTTTCCTCCTTTAACAAGCACAGGAAAGGCAAAAGAATTTGACAAACCATCACGATTGCTCGAGATGCCGACAATTTGCAGCCGTGGTTCAAGAACAATACCATATTCTTATACTCTGAATTGTCAAAAACTCCATTTTATTCAGAGATCGACTTCATCCTACGATTCATTTACTATGATCTGTAATGTCATTCAGTATGACAGTTTTGAAAATGTTACTGAAGAATGATTTACACTGGGAAATAAAACACTCCTAATACATAAGAAAGAAAATAAGATGGGTTTAATGTAGATTTGCAGGAAGAACTTGGTATAATCAGACTCCGACGAAAGCCCGACACTCAGATTCCCAGTGTTCCTTTACCTGTCGAATTCTCTCCGCTCTTTCTGTCTGAAGTCGCTGCTCCCAGTATTCACCACAGCTGATCCAAAACAAATGCATGATTCTTATGAGAACATATTGATTCAGATTCATGAATCTATCACTCTTCACTGGATCTGCATGGACATATATTCCGAAAAATTAGTCATAACTTCTCTTTAGCAATATACTAAGCTCATCCAAATGTACAAAACCTTCATAAACGCCAGCCTCTCGACATAAAGGACATTTTTCTTTCGGCTCTGCTGCTTTCAGGACATTAACAACGGTCACCGTTGCAGCTGAACAAGCGCACATGTAGCAGAAAATATGCCCACAAGTGAGGGATACCGGTGGAATACTGTTTCCTGTTATATTAAGGAAGAAAATGGAATGTCTCATATCAGTGAAGATTGCTTAGTAATCGTGACTATCATGCTACCAAAGCTTAAATCTTGCAACTTATCAAGCATATCGAGCAAGTTAAGTCAAATCAAACTTGATAGAATCAAAGAATTCGCAAGAAAGGAACGGTTTGCCATCATTAAATGTGAGGAAGCAGCCCTCAAACAATGCAGGGGTCACTCCTGATTTGGCCTTGGTTTCCCTCAAATTGATGCGGAAAGCCATGAGCTCACATAGCCATGACGATTGAAGGATTTCGATGTGCATACTCTGCGCTTGTGACCTGAAGGCTTTCCCTTGTTTCGAGAAATGAACCTGCATCGAGAGCAGAATCAGAACAGAATCTCTTCAACCACAAGAAAATTACCATCAATGCAGAGATTCTCCACAGAGAGATAAACTCAAAAACATACCTTATCGTATTTTTCAGTATTTTACGAATCGCGATAGCATTAATCAATGCATAGTTAACCAAATCTTTCCCTTCTTGAATCAAGGCAACATGGCTTCCTTGCAGCTTACCTTTGAACCAGATGAAGTACTTCCTAAAGCCGGAAGCCAAGTGCAGTTCAATCAATTTATGCGCACGCTCATTGAAGCAACCGACAACGTCAGAAATTTCCTTGAGAAGAGAGGGGAAGAAGGTCCCGTCACACACTGGTAAATCCATAAAACCCAGATTTCAAATCAGAAAAAGAACAAATCAATAAGAAAAAGGGGGAAACCCAGGAAACATAGAGAAAAGGTTGAATTAACAATCAAAATGATCAGAAGATAAAAACACAGAGATGCTTTTCATCAGCTGCCTCGATATATACCTGAACAATGGTGAGGACAAGTTTGGATATCAAGAACCCCATGAACGTCCTTCTTGGACCGAGTATGCCTACGACAGTTCTTCAAAATTTTCTTGAGCTTCTTGAAATCAACCCCCGGTAGTTCCTTCTCCTGTCCCTGCATGTATTCTTGATATTTCTTGCATAACTTCATGTCTCTCTCTCTAATAAAAATTATTAATCCTTTAAACCCAGGAGAACAGAAATCTCGAATTACTTAGTTCCCTTCAGCTCTTTCAATCAACTTACATCAATTCAACAAGACATGGAAAGAGATGATGATGATGTGTAGTTTTAGATTTTATGTGATGAGTGATGACAGCAGAGATTGACAAAATCTTCGGGTTAACTTTTCTATCTCTATCGATTGTTTCAAGCAGGCTCTTTTTTTACGTATGGTCATATGGATATGAACATCTGCAGCTGTCAAAGACAAAAATTTGGTAAATCATTAATAAAAATAATCGAAGTGATCTACAATGGTATCCTCCAATGGTTTCTATGCTAAAATCAAAATTGGAGTAACTATAAATAATAAATTGTAAATTTTGTTTTTTAATTTTAATTTATTATTTTTTAATAATTTAAAATAATTATAATATAATATTCGTTTACCGGAATATATTGAAGCTTAAAAATTTTAAAATAATGTATGTTCTAAAAATTCACCCTTAATATAAAATTTTACATTTGTTCATATTTATTTAGAATTTTCTTTTAATTATTGATAATACACTACTCTATGCTGGAGTTTAAAATTTTCAAGAAAAGTAACATTTCTAATAACTTGTGTTTTAAATTGAGATCGTCTAATAAATTTAAATTAATTATATTTTTAATATATTTTATATTAAATAATAATATTCAACCATTTCAATAAATACAGTTAGGAGTTGTTTGTTTACTTCAGAATGATTAAGCGCTAAATGATTTAAATGCTGAGTGATTCAGAGTCTATGTATGAATTAACTCTGAATGTGACATGTTGTTTGATAATGGCTCTGAATCATTCAGAATGTACTTCTGTGCTTAATCATTCAGCACTGTTTTGCTAAATTAGTTAGCACTGAATCATTCAGAGGTACAAAACAAACGCGCTGATTGATGAACCGTTCAGCATTCAGCGCTGAATGATTCCATTAAGAGTCAAACAAACAACCCTGATATCCAAAACAATTAGTAAATTGATATTGCAGTCCTTGAAAAATATTTTGTTGTGTACAATTTTAAAATAATTACTTAATGTATTTTATATTTTATATTTAAGTGTTTAAATTTTTTATTAAAATATATATTCAAAAAATTTATTTATTTTCATCAACTTACTTATAATATCTTTTACTTAAAGTTCTTAAAATTAACATGTATCATTATTAAAATATTTTAAATATTTAAATAAAAAATTAATATATGTTAAATAATTATTTTAATTAAAATATTTTATACCTATATAAGAATGAATCATTTTAATATTTAAATAAAAATATAGTAATATATTTTAGAAGTCTGTTTTTTAAATTAAGCGGCTGCGTCTAATGTTTCATATCTAATTGGTGGTTCGACGCTTTTATGATAAAATTCTCTTATTTTCTTAGTGGGTGGTCTATATTTGACTCACCCAACCAAAACCACAGAGGCCCCACCGCTCACAGAAATCAACACTATACCGACGGCCGCCGCGGAAAATAACATCTGGAAAGAATCAAGAGCCCCGCACCCTTATCTCTTTTTTTTTTCACGTTATGTTTATCTTTAATCCTTGTAGATGAGATACGACATAATATAGCTTTTATGCCAATTGTTTAACTTGCAACATTTCTGTCGGTTGAAAGTATGCATTTTTGTATTTTTTTATTAATTTAGAGTAAATATAGAATAATATTTATTCAAATATATCTCTCAAATTTTCGACATTAAACGCTCATATCTTTACAGTTATGGTGCTCGCACTCGAGTCCTTAAAAATATCAATTATTTTACAACGAAAGTCATTTAATTCGTGCATTTTTTTTTTATTTTTTTAAATAGTTTAGGTGATTATAATATAATGTTTATTTAAAAATTTTAACTAATTAATAATGCAAATATTCTACATACGTACTTAAATTTATAATCTCTAAAAGATATTTTTTTAATTATTAAAATCACTTAATGAATTCACATTTTATAACTTATGTTGCTTCCTCTTTAAAAATTATAATTAATCTTGTGAAGATGCCATTTGATTGTGGCCCGTTGATAATTTGAAAATTATCTTATAAATTATAATTAAGTTGCTGATAGTATCGTCAAGCTCACCTCGCCCCACCATTTCAACACGATGGAATATGTTTCTCCTTCTATGGAAATTGTGGGTTTACTTGCCTTCAATGCTGCCTCAACGCACCAAACTGCTGCTACGCTGCATTATCATAATGTCTTAGGCTCTTCTTAATTCAATATATATATATATATATATATATTGTATAGTTTAATGTGAGTATAAGATAATATTTATTCATAATATTTTTTTAGTCATTGATAACGTGCACACACTGAAGATACAATTGTTTGAACTCAAAATCTTTAGAGAGAACAATACTCCTTTAACCACTAAAGTCATTTGATGGATTCAAAGTTAAAGAAAATATAGATTATAAGAATATAAAAGCTGAATTATATTGAATATATATAGTTGACTCAACCAAGAGACAACTACGTGACACAAAAATAATATTTATTCTCTATATAGATCATTCTAACATTTGCTGAACATGCTACTGCTTCCTCTGTCGCTTATTCACATTTTGCATATATGGACCACTTCCACCCACAAGGGCCAAGGCCACAACATTAATATCTAATGATAGTGCCGATGATGCCAACTTTAGTCTCCAGTGGAATATCCAATGCTTTACCTCCATTAGGATCCGATATCATAGTTGAGAGAGGCATTCTCCATGTATCTGTATCATTTAACCATACTGGCAATACTGATATAGCTTCTATAGGGATCTTCTACCGGTGAACCCAATGCTTCAACTAGATCCAGATCTTTTCTACATTGTTTATGGGAACAATTGAAATACGTAAATCAACCATTGACGGTTCACTTTGATTTGAGCGAAAAGTTACAGTATGTAGTTATACGATAATTAGCCGATGATATTAGCGACTCAAATACAAGGGAGAATCATGAGAGAGAGAGTGAATGAAGAAGTATCTCTCTTGCATGTCGTATTTAATATTGATCACTTGTGCATGCTTAAATCAAACTTTAAATCACGATTCCTATTATAAACCAACATGATATAAACACGACCTCCAGTCAATAGATTGACTTTGACAATCTATGGAGTTTATCATATATTATCAAAGGGTTATGTTCAACAGAAGGACTTCCTTTGTAGGACAATTTCTCCAGATCGGTCTTAGTAAGCGATCAGAAGAGTTTATCTCCAGAGGGGGGCATATCTCCGAAGGTATAACACACATCATTTCCCCTTTGAGGATGAGTAAGGTACCAGCTAACATGGGTTGAATGTCTACGTAATCTAATAAACTGATAATATGTACTCTCTGGCTCTACGTACGATAAAACATGGTCTGTGTTATCTGCGTTCATAAAAGTCAAGTTCACCCATGTTAAAACTCGTAGGAAGATGAGTTCTATCTGTTTATGAGCCTCAAATGATTGTTACAGTCTATGGATTTAACAATGCAGTACTTTATCGTTCAGAACACCCAACATCATTGGAAAAAGGGTCACCTGCTTTTCTTTCTTTCTTCCTTTCTTTCACGAATGCTGTTGACCATTGAGAAACTATTTGGTTGCTTACTTATAGGTCCAGTTCTAGAGGTGCGAGCTCATTAGTGTCTTCAGTCTTTCCCCGTCATCCAGAAAGCGACGGTGGTGCCCATGGTCTAATACAGGCATCTGTTCTCTTTCATCAGCAGCAAATCATTTCAATCAACAGCACTTGAATCAATCTGGCATACCGTATACCTGCTCCTGTAGTTTCTGTTATGACGAGAGGTGTGGCCCTAGCAGTCCCACTCCCACAACTTGATCATCAAACTGGTGGCTTCTATGTCTATCCTCATCAAATTCATCAGGTCAGAATCTACATGAAGCAGAAAGCCTGTATCCAAAAATTATAGCGCTTTCTAAAGAGAATGTTT